AAAACATAATCAGACCTAAAGAAATGCACGCAAAAACAATATAAAAATCGCATAAATTTTACTGGTAATAATTAAATTTGCTGAGCAGGTACTGTACGTATTATTAAATAATGTGTTGAATTTGCGTAGGCTAGGCTAGGCCTAGTCAAAAGAATACAGGGCTTTGATAAATTAATTAAATTAATAGCTAGGCCCAGACTACAACAATCTTGTTGAAAATGACACAATTCTATTCTGTCTGCTGTAGAACCTTATCTTTGGACAACGCGAGTACACAACATTCCATAAATGTTTTCCTCTTATCATATCTTATATCTTATCTTTTCAAGAGTAGGGGGTATTGTCTCTCATTAGTATGGCTTTAATATTTGTCAAAATAGAAAAGTATGAAATAGGGCACAACAAAAGATCCAGATTAGCTTGGGTACGGACGCACAAAACAAACAGATGTCTGGAAAGTCACGTTTGCCTGTTTACAAAAAACTGCATAACATACTAGTAACGTACATACTACATACACACGAGCAGGATTTTAAAAGTTCCTATGCTTGCAAGCATAGGAACCAATAAAAAGCATGCGATATCCACACCGCCACAGAGAGAATCTAAAGCCAGCATAGCAAATGGACATTTGGTAGATCTGTTTTCGCTGAGACAACTTAAAGTCAGGCTCCGGAGGGAAAAAAATGTTTGATATGTTGTAGCACTGATTTTTCTAAGACGGAAAAAAGTTGTCTGACGAAAAACTGGGGAACAGTGAATGAGATACAGATTTTTGAATATTTAAAAACTGGGGGTAAAGGGTGTAACCGCCCCTTTTTACACCTTTTCCCCCAGTTTTTAAATATTCAAAAATCTGTATCTCATTCCCCGTCGTTCCCTCCGGAGTCTGACTTTAACAGTTGTCTCAGGTTTTAGGTTACCATAAGCCAAACCTAAAATTTTCTTTCAGGGATCAAGTGTAAAATCACCTGTCGGTCCTACTAAACACCACCATGGATACTCCGGGGGCATACGATACAAAACTTACTACGGGAAAAGCAGGTAGTTGCTTGTAGTTGTTGATTATGATATTAACTTCTGAGAATAAACTCTTCAAAAATCCCCTGTCCAGTTTCTGAATCGAATGCCTTTGATCTGCCACTGCTAACGACACTACATTCCATCCACCCAAAATGACGTCAAGCATTGCGCAGTAGGGGGCCGACCAAGTTAATTGGCGTGGTATTATGGAACGCCACTTTAGTTGCGCTGCGCCACTTGAAGTTTTTTGTGGTGGCACAAACGCATTTGAGCTTGCACTGCGTCACTTTAGTTTTGTGCACTGCGCCACTTGACTTTTGCACTGCGCCACTTTACACTGCACTGCGCCACTTTTGCACTGCCAATTTTTGTCACTTGTCCTTTTATTTTGGTGTGATATCGCTAAAATGACAAACCGAAAGAGTGGCGCAGTGCAAAATTCAAGTGGTGGCACACGCATTTGAGTTTCCCCTGTGCCACTTTAGTTTTGCACTGCGCCATTTTAGTTTGCGCTGCCCCCACTTGACGTGTTTTGGTGATATTGTTTAGAACGCCAATTTGGCATCAAAATGAAAATAAACTCATTTTTACTGTATTATTATTATTACTTTTCGAACCTCGCCCCCACCCTTCGTCGGGAAATATATGGAAAAATAAAACTTAGGCCAGTAATTAACAGCACAAGCAATAAAAATCAGGACATATAAAAAAGAAGCATCTGAAACGTATAATTTGATATTCAAAAGCTATAAAATTTAAGGTAAATGGTAACATACAAAAATATTGCTAATTGAATTTAAACATTAATTAAGAGTTGTTTAAAAACGGCAAACGGTGGCATTTAAATAAATGAATTGCATTTGCACAAATTATTTTTGTGTGTCGATCATTAGGAGAAAGATGTGGCACACACAGCCTTCTAAGCCCAGATCTGTTTTAATTAACTTTTGATACAGAAATATACTGATTTAATAATTATTTAATACTGGAAAAATAATTTTTAAAAATATGTTGGCCCTAGAAATTTATCGGGAAGGCATTTGGATTGTTGGGTACTGGAGAAATAGCATATGGCCCAATTATGTAGCGGCGAACTGATAATGTGATATCATAGGTGTTGGTAAGAGTTGGTACAGTAATAGTCTTGTTCACTGAACTTGGTCATATCATTCGGATGTAACGTGTCCATAGAATAAACTTGACATTTTGATGACGGGGTACGTCCCATATTCTTCTTTCTTTATTTGTCATTTTTTCCTGTTTTAATATTTTAAAAACCGAAAGGTCTAGTGATTAATCTCAGATAAGATAGTATAATACATACTCCAAGTATCCAAATGCACGTCATCGTGTCGGGATTCAATATTTCGACATAATTTATGTCGAAATATTGAATTTAATATTTTACCTTTGTAAATCCATACGCAATTCAGCTTTGTGCTGTTTTGTATGCACTGGGGCGGATGCAGTGGATGCAGGCCGTGCGATCACCCCACCCCTCTCCCCTATATTTTATTAATAAAAATAATTGCTGTAGTGTTTTGTTGATATGAATTACCGGTAAGATTTTTAAGGTGAAGTTCGAATAAATATACCTCAAATATAGAAGTGTTATTCGTATTGCTCAAAAACGCTCACACAAAGTATATTAATCACATATCGTTGCAGCAGCAAATTAAGCCCGTTAATGTTTTCATCCTCTTTGGATTTTCACATTATAACATATTATGTTATACACTATACTAAATTTATATATAGTACAACTAAATAGATAAGACTCTTTGAATACATAAACGTAATGTTTCTTTTTTTCTTAAACAATGCTTTAAATATAAATATAAAAATGTTTATAGTAACTAATAAATAACATTAATTTAAATGTGGACATGTATTCACTACAATAATAGGATTAACAATTTTCCATCTTAAAATCAATTTTATAAAGCCGTTTAAATTTTAATCGTGTGGGAAATTTACTCATAATTGACTCTTGGCTTAGGCATATGTATACATTTTGGTCTGTATTTAACATTTTTCTATCTTTGTCAATTTAAAGTCGAAGGTATGCCCTAGTCCCCGAACTTTTTATGACACCTGGGTAGGCTTATCTTCATAAGAATTCTATAATAATAATAATAATAACAACAACAACAACAACAACAACAACAACAACAATAATAATAATAATAATAATAACAACAATAACAATAATAATAAATAATAATATTATAGTAGAAATTAATTTATTTTTATTTTGATGCCAAATTGGCGTTCCATACAATATTGTCCAAAAAAACAGAAGCCAAGTGGTGCAGTGCAAAAGTCAAATGGCGGAGTTAAAAACTGACTCAAATGCGTTTGTCTTTTGGCGTTCCATATGGTATACCCATGGAGCACAGAGCAAATGGAGGAAGTAGTTTATGGTATAGGCCTACTATAACAGAAAATCTCATGGGTTTACTGTAGTATAATCTTGTTTCACGCTTACCAGAAATATGTCGCGACCCAAACAAGGGGTCTCCAAAATTGTGCATTGGGTCGCGTCGCGAATAGCAGATTTGCAAAAACTACTGAAAACTAAATCCGCCAAAAATATGTTAGCCAACTCATACAAGCTAAACCCTAGACAATTGCTGCAAAGCTCTAATTGACTGATTTTCCTAGTACTGTATTAGATAATTCGGAGAGTGCCACTAGTGACTGTTTACGTCGAGAAACTGGTTATGTTGTTAAATTTGGATGAAGCTTAGAAAAAGTACAGTATGCAATGCAAATAATTAATATGGAACGTCATTGGTACTAAAACCGATTTATTTTTAAGCGTTTTAATTGATTAGGACAACATTTAGGGACTGGATACCAGTCTAGCAAACCATTCAATACAAGATCGAACGTAAGTTAAACAAATGATTCATACAAAAATCATATATATATATATATATATAT